TAACTTGGTATTTAAAGTATATTTGTGCAGGCTCATCTTGCATAGACTGACATAAAAGACAGAGATTATAAAAGAAATTTATTAATGAAAGATGCCTTGGAAATCCCAAAACAACCTTTTTTTTGCAGAAGTAATTAATGTACATTGTTTTACCAAGTACCTTTTGCTTCACCCTTGTATGTAGGATGACTGATAATCTTCATTATCAAACAAATACAGAAAATTGATGTAAACTTAAAACGGGGACCCTATAACAGTAAGAGAGAACCTTAACCATAAAGCTATCTTCACGTCCTTCAGTAAGTAGCCAGTTGATCCTACGTTTTCCCCCATTTAAAAGTCTTTTCTAATTCAGTGTCGTGATCTTGTAGACACCTCTTCATTTCTTCAGTTCCAACTTTCAACGGCTCTGCAGGACTCAGGGTCTTGCAAGTGCGGTGGGGGGTGGGGGATGCTATCACTTTGGGGCAATGAAAGACAAGCATTTACGGCCTGCCAGTTATGATGGCTTCCCACTGATGGCTGCCCATCAAACTCTCAGCCTCACTGCTGTGTGTGTAGGCTTCTACCTCAGAGCAGCACCACTCGGCAGGTTTCCAGGCCGCCAAGGAGCCACCACTACCAAGGCAAGTTGATAGGTGTCAGCTCCACACAAGAAAACAAAACTTGCAGGAAATTAACAAGCAACCAAAGAAGGTTAAGCGAGTGCCTCCGTTCAACAGGCGGGGGCGGGGGGGGGAGGATATGTCAAACCAGGTAATGCCCATTCCCTGGAAGAGGAGGCACCATCGTCGTTACCCTGGGTCACTTTGATTCTTTCTCAGAGTCACCTGCATCAGACCTATATTCTGGGATTTACAAAAGGCAGCCAACTCATAATTCCGTGGCTTCAGTGGACACGGACATGCACAAGCCTCTGTCACGCCTCATTAGTGTGAATTACCTAGCCTTCCAATGATTCACAAAAGGTAGTGAGGAGAGTCTTACATTCACCCTTTAAAGGTGACGATATCCAGGGGATAATCTCCAAATGGTTGGCAGGAAAAGGATATGCAATTGCACAAGCCAAAAAAAAAAAAAAAAAGAAAAGAAAAAAGAAGAAAAAGAAAGAAAGAAATCCAGTGCATCTATCTTGGTCTACATCCTGACCCTCTATATAAAAAAATATATATATATATTTTTAAAAATGCCCAAGAAAAATAAGTGTTTGAGTTTTGACACGAGCTTCAAAAATTAAAGTTATGCTTTTAATTACTTGGTTGAGTCTTTATATAGTAAGACAATCTGAAAAACAATGATTATACAATTAAAATTTTAGGTCATCAGAGACATCAGAATTTCCTTGATTAAATGGCTTTTTAAAAAATGGAACATTAAATTCTTGAGACTCCTAAAAGACCTGTTTTAACCAGCCAGAGGTGATTTCCAGACCCTGGAGCCACATGTGGGTGAAAAAAAAAAAAGAGGGGAGAAAAGTTCAATGACCTTGCAAATTAAGGACTAAAAATAAATAAATAAATAAATAAATAAATAAATAAATAAATAAATAAAAACTCGTACTGCCTGGACAGTCCCCATGGAATTACAGGAAAGCACTCATCCGGAAATTGCTATTTTGGAAAATTACTATGAGGTGGGGGGAAAGGGGAGTATTACGGGGAAGGGATATTGCAAATACTTAAGATGCAGAAAAGGGAACAAATGATGCGAAATACAACCAGCTGCCTCGCAAACAACTTCCAGGCATCTCTGGATAAAAAGGAAAACAACCCTTTTGCTGGATGTCGGAGAGTTGGATGAATGGGGAAGACTTGTTATACACCTAGTGGTGGGTGGATTTCACAGGCTGCAGCCTCCACACAGCTTTTCTCTGCTGCACTGCAGAGGCGCCATCTTCTCCGTCTTAATCTTCACTCTACTCGACCCTTTTATCTGCACCCTTCCAAAAAAAAAAAAAAGACCCTGAGGACCCTCCCCAGCATCCCGCGCCCCCCGGGATGACTAAGCTAGAGTCCCCAGAACTGTCCTCAGGAGGCCCCACCTCAATCAGACAAACGCCTCCCTTGATGCGCAGGAGCCCCAACCTCCCCACCACCAGGCACTGCCCTTTCCAGACGCACGCCTCACTCTGGGCTCTCTCTCTCTTTCTCTCTCTCTCTCTCTCTCTCTCAGGACTCTGCAGCCCCGCACAGGATTGACGCCAGGCGGTGGCGATGCGGGGGTGGGAGACCACGGGGCCCCAGCAGCACCCCCGGGCCCTCGGGGACAGACGCGCAGCGCGGGGAAGGGAGCCGCGGTGGCGCACAAACTGCCCGGGCTCCGCCACCGCGCCCTGGACGGCGAGGGCGGGGTGTCGCGGCTTTTGTTCCCGGGGACCTTCCCGGTCTCTGGAAGAAACCGGAGGTACAGCGGAGAGCCCGGGACGTCCAGCGTGAAGGACGGTGCCGGGCGGCCGCCGCTCTCCGATGTCTCTCCCCACCACCCCCCAACACTTGCAACTCAACACAAAAGGGCGAGGCGGAAATGCACAAAGTTTGCCCGAGGAAGGCGGCGCGCGACCCCGCGCCCGCTCCGGAGAGGGTCGCTGCGCAGGCAGCAGCCGCCGCCCGCGGCCGCCGGGAGCCAAGCCCAGCAGCTTCGCAGCCAAGTCGGGCGGGGGTGGGAAAGAAAGGGGAACCAGGCGCTCCCCGGGCGTCCAGAGAGGTCCCCTCTCCAAGCCAGGGACCCGGGGAAGGGGAAGGGCGGCGATTTCCTCGCTGGGCACCGCATTCGGAGACTGCGCTTTCAGTTTCCCCGCACGTGTCCCCTTCCCCCCACGGACTGGCTCAGTCTCTCGCATCCCCGAGACCGGCTCTCGAGGCAGGGAGGGGTCGGGGGGGGGGGTCTGTGCTCAGGCTGGCGCCCTCAGCCTCGCCCCGGGGCCGGCGGGGATCTGGGGGAGCCCGGGCGCTTCACCCGCTCCCTCTCCACCGGTGGGGCAGAGCGTCCCCGGGCAGGGCTGGGCCGGAGACGCCGATGCGCAGGGCACCCGCAGGCGGGGGCGGCGAAGAGCGGGGATAGCCGTGACAGTCCCCCGCCTCTCACCGTTCCAGCTCCGTGCTGGGTGGGGAGGATCGGGTCCTCCCCGGCGCCCGCCTCCCCTCCCCGGTCCCTTTCCCCGAGGCGCGGCACCCACCTCCAGCGCCCGGACGGTCCAGGCGGCCAGCAGGAGCAGTGCCAGGCTGGACAGCATCGTGATCCCGCTCGGGGCACCGAGTGCTCTGTGTGCGAATGGGAGATCCGCCGCGCCCTGCCTGGGTCCGCGTCGCCGTCGCCGCCGTCTCCGGGAGCCCCCCGCGCTCGCTCTGCTCCGGCTGCTCCGCTCTCGCCGAGGAAACTGACAGAGCAGGAGGAGCGCGGCGGCGGGGCTCGCAGCCGGGGAGAGTCAGCTGATCCCGCCCACCCGGCTCGCCACCCGACAGAGACCTCTAGCGGAGCCCCGGGGAGCTGCGCCCGTACGCAACGGGAGGCGACCGGAGCCGGGAGCCCACAGGTGCGGTGTTACCCGCACCAGCGCGCGGAGAAAGAACCCACGGCCCCTCTGGGCTCCGGGAACCAAGGGTGGGGGGATGATCTGGGTCAGGGAGAGGGACCGGCAGTGTGGGGAGCCGGGGAAGGAGAATCCTAGGACGTTTGGGTTCCAGGAAAGTCGGGAGCGCTCCTCCCGGCTCGTCCCCGTGAGCTTGAGTCACCGGAGCCCCAGGCCTCCCTGGAATGTGGTTGAAGAGCCTCTACTGCTGAGATGCGTTTTTATCTGCAGTTCATTTGCTCGGTTTGGAGAGGTGGCCCGAGGCCGAGAACATTAGCAATAGGATTTCTTTGCAGAAGGGTAACCTCCATCCCCGCCACCCCCTGCAACCTGGAATTTTTTTTTTCTCGTTAGAATGCACCAGAAAAGGGCACGCGACCTAGGACACAGAACGTACGGTTTCCTTTATGTTTGTAGTGGAGGGAGGGGATCGTGGGGGTGTTTTTAAATAGTTGTTGCATTTTTGCTTGATTTGGGCGGTTTCAGAGAAGAGGGTAGGCATCCGGATCGGAGGAGACAGGGAGGTAGAGGCTAAGATGGAGAAGAGAAAAAGTTGAGCTGGAAGAGATCTTGCGCTATGGCCCTGTTCCTCCTCCATCACCAAGGACTTCGTCCTGAACTCTGCCCTTGTCCTTTGCATCTGACCTAAATCACAGGAAAGGACCTCTGTAAAGCCATTTTCTCCTACATTAATGACAAACTGTGCAGTGCTCGAATGGCCTAGAACCATCCAGAAAAGCCCCACTCCTGACCGGATGTAGCATCAGACCTCAAGCCATTGGCTCACTCTAGCCTAGTGAGATGCCAGATGAGTTTCTGGCTGGGAGGCCACTACCTTTCCCCTCATCTCACGTGTTTTTAGCAACTTGATGTGAGCCGTGGTCATCTAGGAGGAGGGACCCTAAATTGGGGGAAATGACTCCATTAAATTAGCCTGGAGGCAAAAACGTGGAGATATATTCTTGATCGACGTGGTAGGCCAACCCTGGGCAGGTGGTCCCGGGTTGTATAAGCAAATGGGCCCAGCAAACCAGCAAGCATGAGGAGCAAACCGGTAAGCCGTTGCCACCACGGCCTCTGCCTCAGCTCCTACTTAAGGTTCCTGCCTAGAGTTCCTGCTCCGACTTCCCTTCATGGTGGGCTGCGATCAGAGTATGTAAGCTAAGTAAACCCTTTCCTCAAGTTGCTTTTTGTCGTGATTCTTTTTTCATTATCACAGCAATAGAGAGCAAATTAGCATACTTGCTCTTGCACAGAGCCGGGAATCCCTGTGAGTGGGGCGGAAGGATTTGTCTCCACCCTTCCTTTCTTGAGAAGCCAGCGTTGTTCTCCCAGCTCGCCCAAATGCCGTCTGTCCAACTCTACATATAATTAGTCCTGGATGTCCTTTGGATGCCCTTAACAAATAACAACAAACATTTACTATGCAACATTTGCTTTTATTATTTATGGCGTTCACTTCCTGCAGAAGCTCGGGAAAGGACAGGGAGAGAGCTCAGCTGGTGAAGTACTACACAAACACAAGGGCCTGAGTTGCATCCCTGGACGCCACATAAAGATGTCAGTCATGCTGGCATCTGTCTCGGAGGGAGAGACAGACTCTTAGGCACACTAAACCAACAAAGTTACCCCACCTCAAAAAAAAGGGGCACAACACCTGAGAAAAATCATCTAAGGTGTTGGTGGCACACGCCTTTAAACCCAGGACTCGGGAGGCAGAGCCAGCAGATCTCTCTGAGTTCTAGGCTAGTTTGATCTACAGAGCGAGTTCCAAAACAATGCAGAGAAACCCTGTCTCTAAACACCACAAAAGCCATTGCTATCGTAATCCCATTTAAAAGTCAGAAAAACAGAGGCTGGGACGGAGAATAACAGCAGAGTGACCGGTACCTCAATTAGTGGAAAGCTCACCCCTCGACAGCACCTGAAATTTAGGAAAAGGAAGCTCGTGAACTAAGAGATCTGAGAACAAGAGGGCTGTACAAAGTGAGACCCACAGGGAAAAATCCCAATGAGAAACAAGACAGTGGATCTCTCGCCTCACACTCCTTCCCAAACACGCTCACCTGTCTGTCGTCACGAGCTGCTTGGGTGAACAACCAAATCGTGAGATCTTACTGAAAAGTGAAAGCGTGAGCTCTTCTGAACTGAGTTCACAGGCTGCACAGGCTGTAGGCCATATGTGTCATGGAAAGAGGCAGGGGGTTATTTTAACAAGATGGGGTAGGTGTCCTTTGCTGAGCAGGCAATTTTAAAATTCACCGATAAAGCCAGGTGGTGGTAGTACATACCAGCACACATGTGGATTTCTGTGTTTGAGGCCAGTCTGGTCTGCAGAGTGAGTTCTAGGACAGCCAGGACTGCACAGAGAAAGCCTATCAAGCAAACAGACAAGCAGAGATAAATGATAGCCCATCAAAACAGAAATTCTCAAAGTTACTAGTCTCCTTTCATGTGATTGAATTCTGAATTTCATCCCACTTACATTCCTGGTCAAGATGTTCCCAGAGGAAGTGATTAATCCCTGATTGTGCCAGAAAGGGCATCCCTAAATTTTCTATCTAAAATTTCTTAAACGTTTTTTTTTAATTTTAGTTAAATGTGTGTGTTCCAGTGTGCAAGCCTCTCTCTCTCTCTCTCTCTCTCTCTCTCTCCCCCTGTGTATGTGCGTGTGCGTGTGTGTGTGTGTGTGTGTGTGTGTGTGTGTGTGTAGTTGTCTGCATGCTCACTAAGGCCAGAAAATGGAGTCGAGACTGTTGTGAGCTGACCTGGGTGTGAGGTGTGAGGAAGCCTTTAGGTCTTCTGCAAGAAGAGCAGGACGCGCTGCTAACCAACTAGTGAGTATGTGTAGTGTGTGCATGTGAGTACAAGCAAAGACAGGCCACAGCACATATGTGCAGGCGGGGAAAACTTGAGTAGTCTGTTCTCTCCTTGCGCCTTTTGAAGGCAGGGTCTCTGATGCTGTTCCCGCCCTGCTGTGTCCTCCAGACTAGCAGGCCGAGAGCTACTAGGTGGTCTTATGTCACCATCTCTGGCCTCACTTTTAGGGATGCTGTGGTTGGAGATGTGAGCCCTGGCTTTCTTACGTGATTCTGGGAAGTGCTTAAATTGTTAGGCTCACAAGGCAAACACTCTTACCTGGTGACCATCTCTCTGACCCAATCCCTCTACATTTTCTCATTTCATCTCCACTCTGATGACATTTCACATCTTACCACTTCCTCTGCTCTACAGTGGCGTCAGTCCTTCCCTGAGTGAGGTATCTCACCAAGCCTGTGCACAGGAAGCACAGCGACATCCCTGGTTGGAATCCCCGAGGAAGGGCTGGCCATGGTGGTGCAAACCTTTAAATCCAGCTAGAAGCAAGCCAGGTCTGGCTAGACGGGGCTACACAGTGAGACCACATGTCTACCAAAATCCCCACGCCAACCTGGACTTTCAGGAGACAACGGTGAGACACTCACTCAGTAGCTACTCAGACGGGCCAGCCTATCACTAGATAAGCAGCTCTGAAACATCTGATTGCTGGAAAGTTCTCACTGCTTAGCAGCGCTCACACATAGTTTGTCAGCTGTGGCCAAGCAGAGCCTTCATTTCTGTAGAGTCATCTCTAGACGACATCTCTCTCTTCCCACCTCCAGGGCCCTCTCACCACAAGCTAAGTCATAGCTCTCTCGACAGTCCCATGAACGACAGCGTTCCCCTCCCTCCCCGCCCCCTCCAGATAAGCTCTGCTTTGCTGAGTCTGCAGCCTAGAGCTGCCCCTGACTCTGTTGCCGCCTACACTGCACTGTGGACGCACACTGGTCACACTTGCTGGCGCGTCCTCTAGCTTTCTGCTCGGAGCTGCTACAGAAAACACTTCCGACATCTAGTCAGTCATCCAGGCCCGCAAAGACCACCAGGAGCAATGGTAAGTCTGAGCCGGACGACGGGACCTTAAGACTACCGCAGCAAATACATGTCAGCGAATATGGCTAGTATCACTGCAGCCCTGGGGTCTGTCTCCAGAAATGCAAAATGGAAAAGAAAAGAAAACATAACAAAGCTAGGTGATTTAAATAACCGATACTTAGTTTCTCGAAATTCTGAAAGCTAAAGGTCCCAGTTCAGGGTGTCATCTGGGCGAATTTCTGCCCAGACCTCTGCCTCTGGCCTGCCTTGTCCATCTTCCCTCTCTGTTTTTACATCTCCTTCCCTGTGTGTGTTTTCATGTCCGGTTTTCCTCTTTTAAAGCCCATCCTCCGACCTCCCTAACTTAATTACCTCTTTAAAGGCTCTATGTTGGGGTGATTGGGATTTTGAAATGTGAGTCTGGAGTGAGGAGATACCACAGGGCCACATTCAGATCAGTTAAGACATGGTCTATAATCTCACTAATCTTTACCTTTATTACCAAAGACCAGCGGTCCTTCTGTCCTTTCCAGGTGGAAGGCAACTGTGGAAAACAGCAAAGACGGAAATGAAGAGGCCTGTTTCCTCCTTGTCTTCCACCTAGTCAGCATTCTGATCCCCGTGCAGCTAGCTTGGTGTGCCCTTCCCTGGACTCTCAGACTCTGAGAACAAGTAAAAGGGCCTTTGGCATTTTCCCTGGGAAAATGTTATCAAAGCTTAGGCTTGTATTGACATTTAAATCCTGCGTTAGTTAGCCAGAGCTACCATGTAGTGAGATACACACACACACACACACACACAAACACACACACACACACAGTGGCACATATAGCATGGACGTGGTCACAGGTGGGGACATGACCAAGAGTAGGATTAGGTCTGGAGTCGGGACCAGTGCGTTCTCTCTCTCTCTCTCTCTCTCTCTCTCTCTCTCTCTCTCTCTCTCTCTCTCTCTCTCTGTTTCTGTTACTCTCTCTCTGTTTCTGTTTCTCTCTCTCTGTCTCTCTCTCTCTCTCTCTCTCTCTCTCTCTCTCTCTCTCTCTCTCTCTCTCTCTCTCTCTCTCTCTCGGCTCCCATTGGTCGGTTGGTCGTGTCTCAGAGGGCAGCCTGGGTGGATCCTGGGAGCAGGAACTTGCTGTGGTCATCTGTTCCTTGTGTAAGTGTCTTCTCCCTGAATAAAATTACATTAACCTATATTGAGCCTAGTCACGTGAATCTTGATCGAGCGTCCACACTGCCATAACAAAGTATCGGTAGCCGGGGTAGCTTTACAGAGGAGGAACTTACTTTCTTATGCTTTTGCTCTAAGGTCAGGGTGGAAGCCGAGTCAGATGGACGTCACTAAGGGCTGGGCCAATGGCCTTTTGAACATCCATACCTCTGTCTTCATGCGGCCCTTCCTCTGCAGGCCTGAGTCCTGCTGCCTCTGTACGTTCACGCCTTTTCTCTTTAAGAAACGATCGGGTTGAACTAGGGCCTTCCCTAACTATCTCTTTTATTAAGTTACTTCTTGTGATGGGATGGATCGAGATGTAATGAAACGCATGTATAAAAATATCGCAGTGAAACTCATTAATTTGTGTACTTATTTTTTAAAAAAAACTTTAAAAAGGTACCTATTCCAAGACCTAACCTTCCGATACAGTGCAGTTTGAGGTAACCCTGAGTTCGTTGGTGACACTGGGGCTTCACCTACTGGAGAAAACAGTGCTTTTGCTGGAAGCCCAACAACTCACAATGACTTTGTGTTAACTTTGCCAGAGGCAGCCGATAGCACAGTGCTCCCAACTCAGTATCGAATAGGTGGATTCTTAAGCACTACTTTGATAATAAAACTCCCAAATTGGTAAGTGAAATACCTTGCTGTTTTCTTTTTTTTAATGTGGTTAAGAGCCTACTCCAATTTGCCATTAATCTTTTCTCCTTTGTATTCCAGCATACTTTTGAATGGGAGAGAAAGGAATGGAGTTGTAGTTGGTATGGAGGGAATTAAGCAAAACCCTGGCCCCTCCCGAAGGCATGTGCCCACTGTGTGAAAGATATGCATCCCTTTTGCTGATGGTACCAAGCTTGGGAAGGATTTGTGCCAGAGATACCGAAAGGATTAAAATGGACTTGTCCTATAGAATGGAGGACAACATGTGTTTAAAAGAAGCTCCATCCCGAGTCAGCTGCAGAGAGTCACGGGTCTCATTAGGAATTGCTGGCATCTGGAAGTCACCCAACTGAAGCTAAGTGGGGGTTAAATTCCGGGGCAGCCAGCCTCGGCATAAGTGACTTGCTCTCCATACTCTCTTTAATGACGGAGAAGTACTTGTAGGGAAAGGGGGCCAGTCAAAGAAACACACCCTGAGCAGAGCCAAAGAAACACACTTTGGCCCTGCAACCAGAACCAAAGAAATGTACCCTGACCCTGAAACCAGTGCCAAGGGAACACACTTTTTCCCTGGAATCTGAGTCAGTGAAAGAAATGCACCCTGGCCCTAAAATTGGAGCCAAAAGGCAAAAAGGGACCAGAGAAAGAAACATACTTTGGCCCTGAAACCAGAGCCAAATCTGACCTTAATCCTCTGCAGAAAAGTAACCAATCCTCGAGCAGAGCTCTAGCCAATCTGAGCTCAGCACTGAAATCGGACCAATCCCTACCCTGGAAAAACTTCCCCGCCCCCCCCCCCAAGAATCCCTATATAAACCCTGTGTATGTTCAGCTTGGCTGGTCCAGCTGCCTTCCAATAAACCCCTTTTGGTGAGCTTTGGGTGAAGATCATCTTTTGTGGTGGCGATGGAGCAGAGGCGACCCTGGGCAGAGCAGAGCAGAGTGGGCAGAGCAGAGCGAGCAGAGTGAGCAGGGCTGTAACACTTTCCCAGGAAACCTTCCCTTGGCAGAGCAGAGTTGTTACACTCTGCTCTCCATCTCGCTCTCTGCTCTCCAGGAGCAGAGCTGAACTGTAGCAACTTCTGCCTGATATACCTCCAGCCGAGCAAAACTGCTACACTAGGTGAACATGCCCAGCTGGAAGACCCTGTCCTGCGGAGCAGAGCCTATTCACAGGAAACCTTTCCCTGAGGCAAGGCTGCAAGCAGCTAAGCTTACTGCAACCTGTGGTGGTCCTTGGCTCCCGAGCTCCAGGATACCTTTCCATCTGAGCTGTGTAACACTCAGTATCCTTGGCTCCCGAGCTCCAGGATACCTGATCCACTCCAGTTTCATCCTGTCCCGATACATACCTAAACGCTTACAGTGCTGGAAACACCGATGAGCAACAGAACAGAAAAGTGTTTCTGACCCTCGAGGTGAACGGGAAGACAGGAGGTGGACAGCCTTTGGGTATCCAGGAACATACGTAAACAACATCCTGGATGGCAAAACAAGCATAAGCAAAACCGTCAGATTCACGGTCATTAGGTACATAACTTTGCCCCAGAGCAAACAGACGACCCTGCCTGCCAATCAACATTTCCTGTCCCATGTGTGACTTATTCCAGTTAAAGTAAATGTAGCTATGGGAAACAGAAAGGTTCTCTAGTGAAATATCAACTGTAGTTTTTATACTTGACACTATGGGTAATATTCAAAAGAGAGAAAGAAAGGGGGTAGATTTGGGTGGGAGGGTAAGAGGGGGGAGATTTTGGGGGATGGGAGATGAGTGAAATTTAATTGCATAAAAATCCATTTTCGATAAAAAGGAAAAATATCTAAATAAAAAACAAACAAACAAACAAAACCAAAACTCATACTCCTCCTAAGGGCCATGTGTTTATATGAGAAAAATATGTGGGAAGAGAAAAAAGAGGCCATTAAAATGTATTAGTAATAAGCATGTGATGTAAAGTCTTTGTGTCTCTGTATGGGGATCAGTGAGGAGGAAACCAGAGTTCCAAGCCTGGGGCCATGGGAAGGGCAAGTCAGGAGGAGAGGCCAGCTAAAATCATCAACAGAGTTCAGTAGCTGAGGACACAGGAGAGGTGGCTGAAGGGAGACCAGTGTTAGAAGGTGGGGAGGAACCGGAAGGAGTGGAGGGAGGAGAAACGATTATCAGGTTATAGAGCATGAGAAAAAAAATCTATTTTAACAAAAGGAAAGAGAAAAGAAAATGATAAATAGAATTTCCAAGGAAGGTGAACAGTAGATGAACATTGGAGATGTAGCTACAGGCATTGTTCATCATAGCTGAAGATCCCCCAAACTGATCATGTCCATCATAACTGTTGATCTCCAGTACTGGGCTGAAAGCTATTCAAAAGAAGCTAACAACAAGAAACCACAAATCAGCAGGAATGTGTTATTTTACTTAGAAGAACCTGGTAGGCACTCAGAGAGTTAACTAGTACTGTGGAAATGAACCACAAATATCTCCGTGTATCAGAGCATTAAAAAGACACAGAGTCAACAGAATATATTATATATACATCATGCATACTGTATGCATGTATTATTCATTACAAATATATGTATACACACATATACATACACATACTCATATATATACATATATATATTCTCCTGCACATATATATGAATTTGTTATTGTGTCCTTAAAATCAGGTAGTCCAAGAAATCCCACAGACAGCCTTCTAAAGAACGGAGAGCTGTCAAAACTGGTGTATAATCCTGACCATGCTGACTTAGCAACTGGCAAGGTCACTGCTTAAGTCCGAGTCAGAACCCTGAAGACCTGAAGAACCTGGAGTTCTGATGCCCAGGGACAGGAGACGGTAAGGGCTCCACCTGAAGGAGAGAACACAAGTATTGTCTTCCTGGAGAGTACTCTTCCTGTACCTCTTCACCATACTGGTTTGAACATGTGCTCCCTCATCACTGAGGAAGGGCCTTCTTAACCTGACCTGCTGATAAATACCAACGTGAGTTTGCTCCTGAAACACTCTCCCAGACACACTCAGAAATAATGTTTTACCATCTCTCTGGACATCTCCCTACCTAGTCAGGTGAGCACATTAAATTCACTATCATACCCTGCAACAGGATGTAAGAGTAAACCCAGTTACATGTCCACATCAAGGTTATTTTCTAAAGTATAAATGAATTAGAGAAGAAGTTTTGTTAAATTAACGTTTTTCTACAGGCATATATTGTAAGATGAACATAGTCCTTCCAGATTCCTCTACCATTCCCTTTCTCCTGCATCCTTACTATGAGTCTCCTTTGTCCCCTAGAAAAATTTTACTAATACTTCCATGTCATATACACATACATGATATAAATAGCATTTTCCAACGCAACTTCCCAATTGTGTACAATGGAGCTCAAGTTACCAAGAATGTTCCTGAAGGGTTCTATAACCAAATGTTTGAGAAATAATTAAATAAAATTAAGCTAACATCTTGCTTTTAGGAGGCTCACAGCCCTTTAAAGTGCTAAGGTACACTTTGAACTCTAAAGACAATAGCTGTAGTTCTAAGCTCCTCTTGTCTTGTGGTTTTTGCTATTGTTTGGTATATCAGGCCCTGGAGTAGGTGACTGTGGTCTAGAGGCATTCTAATTAAACTCTTGGTTTTATTTCTTGCAGAAATGAACATTTACAGGCATAGTTTGGTTTAAACAGATAGGCTTTTTCGGCTGAAAGGTATTCCATTGTGTGACCCTGAAGATGGCTTAATGAAAGAGGAATTGTAGAAATGTTAGGCAGACAGACATTTTAAAGTAGGGCATAGCATGCCATAAAAAGCGTTTCAAAAGTTTAAAGTCAGAGTAAAAATGTGTGTTCTGTAGAAGACATTTGTTTAGAGTCGTTTGAATATTTATTATGTAAGCATTCCAGTGTATGACCAGCTTCTTAATTTGGGGGAGAAATGGGACAGAATCTAAGCCACATTTGTGACTGCTTCTTTTAAAATTTCCATCTAAGGAAAGGAGAAAGTATTGCGATGTTTACAAAGAAAAGCCTTAGTTTCACGCCGGGCGGTGGTGGCACACGCCTTTAATCCCAGCACTCGGGAGGCGGAGGCAGGTGGATCTCTGTGAGTTCGAGGCCGGGCTGGACTGACAGCCTCCAAAACAATAACAGAGAAACCCTGTCTTGTAAAAACCAAAAAAAAAAAAAAAAAGACTTAGATTCGCAGGGTTGCCTCTAATTATCCCAGGTGAGGCCCTCTAGGAGTAGCCAGGACCTTTAGGAAGACCACTGAAGACCCAAAGGGAAGATGACTGAAGGAGACTGCTGTGGGATTAAGTTTGAGACTCCTTCATCCAGAGTTCTCAGGAAGACTTGGAAGTCTGTGTCAAAAAAGAAACCCACACAGAAAACTACCATAGTTTTTCCCTGGTGGTCATTATTGAAACCCTTATTTACCACCAGTCATGTTAAAGAGGTCTGTCAACTCTCACTGCTTTAACAACAAAAGAGAAAGAAAAAAAAAAAAAAGGAAGGAAAGGAGGGAGGGAGGGAGGAAGAGAGGAAGGAAGGAAGGAGATAGAGAAATAAGGGAATGGCTTAGGGACTCAAGTCTGAGAAAGCAATGCTGGCTTTTCTAGTCTCCAGTTGTCCAAGAAACTCTTTTCTAACCTGGAGAGCCAAAGGTGCCAGTGTCCACCTTACTCGGTGCGGTCCATGCAGTCTGGAAAGGATACCGACAGCAGACCCATTTCTTGTCTCTGATGAAGGGAGTTTTAGGTGGAAATAACAGTTAAAACAAACAGACAACAAAAACATGACAACACAGACTCTGGGTTCCAGATGTTTCTAGAGTCCCACCATGAATCTTAGCTCAAAGTCTGGGAAACACCAAATAAAATTCATTTTTTTTTGGCCTATGAAAGAGGACATGCCATAGTTTCTTAAATTTAATGTACTGCTTTAATCTCCAGTATAGGGGAGCAATGGGGGATTTTTTAAAAATCTGATTTTCCCAGAACTGCTCGGTGTTTTCCACCCCAATCACTTAACGACTTCCAAAATTATATACAAGACTAGAAAAATGCCAACTAACATATGCAGGACCACGCTGTGGTAACTCACTTTTCATGTGGTTCCACTGGTCTGGGTAACTCAACACCTAGGAGATAAAGCGTGATGTTAAAGCAACAAGGAAAAGGAAGTAGCTCAGGCTAGTACCCACAGGTGTCTTGCTTTGGGAATTAGTCCTCTGGAATAATTGTGGAGTGTAAACGTTTCCCTCCCATGAACCGGAGCACAGAGCGGTGAAGCGCTTTCCAGACCCTTTGGGACTAGGGAGCAGCTGCTGTTAGACGTCACATTTACAGTCTCTGGATAAATGAGAGTTTCATCCTGAATTTTCAAGCCCGGGCTCTCTTATCCTTTACATACATGGAGAGAGGAAGTTGGGCACCTGGCCCAAGCAACTCTTTCGTCCTTTTTGAGCTCCTATGATAAGGAAGTGTTTAATTTAATGTGATTCTCCTTCAACATCAAGCTTCAGAACGCCTCCTCCTTCACTTCCTTCTTATTCTACAGCCGGAGTCTTTAAACAACAAAATACACACACACACACACACACACACACACACGCACGCACGCACGCACGCACGCACGCACGCACGCACGCACGCACGCACGCACACACATCCCTCTCTTTTAATTCCCATGAGTTGAAAAGTATCTAGAAATAGAAAGTTTGAAACCGAAGAGGTTGGATTGTCACCGTGGCTGATGCTTTAATCTAATCAGAGGAGGGCTTATCCACTTAATGTAGACCCAAAAGTAGCGTGTCTAAAGCTGCAGCTATCGGCAAAACTTTAGTTTTCCTGACTTCTGAACCCTATCTGCTCTTGCAGTGCTTCCACGGTGAAGATGTGACTACATGGTTGTATGCCAGAATTAGCCACATGGAATAGTTCGGGGATTTTTTTTCTTATGCAAAATCAAGTTGCCATTCCGGGATTTGGGGTTGGAGCTTTCTGTAAAGGTAGGGAGGCTTGTGCCTCTGCAGTGCACTTCACGCAGCTGTCCAGCTGCTGATTCCTTAGTTTATTGGCTCCCATGCCAGCTTCCACAAGTTTCCTTCTCTTCCTTTCTGTTCTTAGCTTCAGTGCTGCCATGCCAAGGAACATCGTTTGCAAACTAACTTTGCTTCCCTGTGCAGGCCAATCCTTCACAAGTGTTAAGACAGTCATCCGATATTTCTTTAGACTTGGTTGGCCCACCCCTTCCCATTCCCTTTCCTCCTGTCCCCTCCTCTTCTCTACTGTCTTTTTCTACATCGTGCCTGGTGACATATAGCTTCTGAATTCCTGTTAATAGTATACTTTGGATGCATTAATTGACTTCTGCAAAATGCCTTTCTCCCATGTGAGATCTGTTTAATGAGCAGCTAAGTTGAAAGCCATAAAATTCTAAGCATGCAAATAAGAAGGCATAGTGTGGTAGAGAATGACACAGAATGTGGGGAGATGAGCAGAGTGGGGAGAGGGAAATGAGGGAGGAGGATTTATTTAGGAGGAAAATGTCTATTTGGGACTAGAGAATCGTCCCTAAGGTGAGAATGAGTATGACATCATCTGGGGTTCCGGCGGAAGAAACAGGGGAGAGTGGTGAGAGGTGAGGTCATCGAGGTTGTTATGGGATGAATTGTCTCCCACTCTAGACTTCATAAGCCAAGGCCCTACACTCCAGTATATTAAAATGTGGCTGTGTTTAGAAATGTGGTCTTTAAAAAGTTGCCGAAGTCAAGATCATTCTGGAAGTTTCTAATCCAACACGGTTGGCGTCCTCATAAGAGCATGAAATCAGGGTATGAATGAACTTGCATGAAAGGAAGACCATGTGAAGATGCAGGAGGAAACAACCTCCTTGAGGAAGGAGGCCACAGAAGAACCAATACAACTGACACCTTCGTCTTGGACTTCAGCCTCCCGAACTGTGGAAAGTATTTCTATTGTTTTAGTCACCCCACTTCCAGTACTTTGTTTTGACAACCTTAGCAAATCAAAGGCCAGATATTTTAAGTCCCTAGAAGTCATTTTAGGTGCACTGAGCAGAATGAGAATCAACAGGCTTGTTTTTCAGACCACGATGATGATTTAGTTGACATTTTACAGGGATGGGTCTAGTTTCTGTTCTGAAATTGGTCCACAAGCAGCAAGAAGAGGAGATGGGATGACAGCAAGGGGCTACTGCAAAAATCTACCCGACAGTCGGAGGTGGAAAGTGAAAAGTTTCTGCACCCCAATAACCTCTCCACCGATGCAGCAGTCCAAATCAGACCAGATTAGGAAAAGCCCATGTTTAATAGATGCAATGCTCCCGGATGGTCTTCCAGACCCCCGGAGAGGAGATACTGGAAAAACCACACGTCTGTTTACTGGGGGACAATTTAAATATCCTGTGGGAGTTGTCTTGAGCATCTCTGGGGGAGGAGTCATCATTTGGCAGGCTTTCTGAGATGCAGCGGGGTTCGGAAGGAGACTGGGGAGGAGGACTTGGGTGGAACTTCCACCATAACATTCCAGACTATTTGGGATGCCAGGGCCTGGGGTGAAGCTTCCACCATAACAGAAACAAGACAGAGGCAAGTACTAGAATATACTTTCAAATTAGGGACCAGATTATCATTTGAGTACTTACTTAGAATTGTTATGTGAGAGTGAAAAGTCAAAAAGCCAAGTGCATCCCCCAGCTTTAAGCCACGGCTACTGGAGGAAGTGATCTATTACTCACTAGGATGGGGAAAGTCATGAGAATAATGAGGATGACAAAGCGCTTAGTTTGGGCATGCTAGCTAACAGTATGATGCTTACTCGTCTCTGAGTTTAAGATCTCTGTCGCACAGACATAGAATGTATAGGCACGGTCAGGGCAAAGGCAGAAACAATGGGAAAGATGGCTTAGTGTGCAGTGATGACAAAAAGACAGTTTGGGACCGAGCTCCAGCACTTGACGTTTTGAGGTTGCCGCAATAAGCAGAAATGAACAAAAGCAAGCAATGAATGAGCGGTGAGCAGGAAAAAGAAAATGGTAGAATAATTTCCGAGAAGCTGAATCCAGGACATGGCTCATGAGGGGAGAATGGGTACCAAGCTGAATGTTGCAGGTACATCAAATAACATAGGGCTCCGTTAGATTAAGTTATAGAGAAGCTCTTAGTGACATTGGCCATAACAGGTTTAAGGAATGACATGCACCAAAGTGTGGTTACAGCGAGTTCAGAGTGGAATGGGGGAAAAGAACTGAGGCCATCAATTATAGAAATACTGCTTTGAAGATTTTCGTGTTAAACAAGGCCACAAAGTTATATGCTTCCCAGAAGGAAACAACAAGAAGGGACATATATATATATATATATATATATATATATATATATATATATTGCTTAGGAATTATTTTTTTATTTTTATTATTTATTTTAAAATTTAAATTAGAAACAAGTCAGTTCCAGGTCCCTCTCTGTTTCCCTCCCCTCCTCCCATGCCCTCCCTCCAACCCCCCCAATATTGCCTCATTTCCCCAAGGAGGGTGAGGCCCTCTATGGGGGTGTCCATAGTCTGTCATTTCATCCAGGGCAGGGCCTAGACACTCCCCCAAGAGTTCAGGGTGAGAGTGCATCTCTCATTGTTGGATGGGAGTCCAAAGTCCATGTGTATACTCGGGATAAATACTGGTCTACTTCCCAAGGCTCAATAGATTACCTAGGCCTCCTCACTGACACCCACATTCAGGGGGTCTTGATCAGTCCCATGCTGGATTCCCAGGCATCGGCCTGGGATTCAAGAGCTAACCCTTGTCAGGTCAGCTGTTTCTGGAGGTTAAACCAGCCAAGTCTTATTCCCTTTGGTCATCAGTCCTCCCTCTCTGTTACTGGCTTTACAAGAAAGGGTTATATTTTTAAACAGCAGATATTACTGTATAAAAATCTGCAGAGAGGGAATGAGAAATTTACACTACATGGTACTTAAAGACAACACTGATTTTATTTCCCAGCTTCCACATACATGTGTACACACATGTATGTGCTCCCGAACACACATGAGCACGCATATACATGTCTTCCTGCATACATATGTGCATGCATACACACACAGACTATGGAGCAAACAAACAAATCAGTGGGAAGTAGGGAACCTCATTTCTGATGGACCACGAGCATCACAAGGTGCATAGAAAGTGATTCAGGAGCTGTTGAAGAATGGAAGATAGATCAGTTGAGTCTTCAAGACCGATGTGCGATGAGAGGTGAGCTGGGAATTCAGGCTTTATGAGTGACAAATGCAAGTTGAGAATTGCCAAGCTTGTCCAACTCCAGCTTGGGAAACACAAATACAGTGCGAGCCATACAGATAATTTTCAACTTGTGTGCATGAAAGTTTTCCTGCATGCGTGTCTATGTACCATGTACATTTCTGGTACCCAGGGAATTCAGAAGAGGGCATTGGATCCTTTGGAACTGGAATTATACATGGTTGTAAGATATCATGTAGCTTCTGGGAATTGAACCTGGGTTTTCTAGAAGAGCAGTTCTTAACCTGGAAGCCATCTCATCAGTGCCCCATTTTTTCAACTTTTTAATAACATGCATTAAAAAGAAGATAAGCAAACACGTTTAATAATAACATTTTATGTTATATAGACAAAACATTATCTCAGTATGCAATCAATATTAAACTAACAACATACTTTGAATTTTCTGAAATATGCTTAGTCTTCTGAGTTTGGTGAGTTGTTTTCTTTTTTTTTTCTTTTTTTCCCAGCACTCAGTTTAGAACAGACAAATTTCAAAGGCTCAGTAGTCATATGTTCAGTGTGGACAGGACAGGTCCAAGGGTAGAAATCATGCTGTAAGTTATGTGACTTCTATGATGCATTCCTCTTGGAACCTAAACATCCTGTAATATATTCGATCTTTAATCAGCCAGGTATAATTATATGTAATTACTTTCTTATCTTATCCAATTCAGCTTATCCAAAGAAATATCATGAGAGTCTTAGTCAGACACTCTGCTAAAATCTAAAGCTGCCGTGTCAGCCATACTTGTCTAATAGACATTAATCTGGTTTGAGTTTCCATGGTAAATTTGTTTGCTCTGGCTTCCAAAGGTTCTTATTTCTTGTGTGTGTGTGTGTGTGTGTGTGTGTGCGCGTGCGCGCGCTCGCGTTTTATGCTGATAATAAAGCCTATACGCTTAGGGTTATTTGTGGGGAAGTGACCTTTTTATTGTTGCTGATAGTTGAAATAGATAATTTTGGAGAACAAGGAAAGGTTGGAAAGAAAAAAAAGTCTCCTTCCATTGAAGAGCAGCAAAGCTGTGCATGAATATAAGACCTGAATCTAGGACTTGGGATCTTGTAAACAAGAAAGATCTTGCATTATTTCATGGAGGATATCATGACAGGGAATTAGGCAATCTGCTATTAGAATGACTTCAAATTAAATTGCCGAAGGGATTGGGTGGAGAATAAATGTCTCCATAAAAGCACATGAAGGAGGATTCAGGAAGAGATATGGCAGAGGGAAGAAACAGAAGAGAGACCTCAGCTCTC